TAAGTCGACGGAGCGGTATCGAGGAATGTCGACTTTACGTATCCAACAAGTCGACGGATCGGTGACGAGGAAGGTCTAGGAAACGGTGTTCTAGTTAGCGGTGTTCGCGAGGTGCTACTGCTGTTGGAGTCTGAGCTCTGTGCAGCGGAGTGCCTCGGAAGACTGCTCTCCACTGAGCTTTTCGTGCGGTCTTTTATACTACTTTTAACATGATATTATGTTGTGATCTTTGCGGTCGGTCGCTGATGTTTACATCGGTTTGTCGCGTGTTCGGTTTCGTGATGAGTTGTTTGATTATCGTTAATCCGGTTCTTGTTCTATTTGTTTTGCGAACGGCTCGTTACATATTTAAATATCATTTAGTCATCATTTATCCAGTGGTAGATTGATATTTGTAGCTTCAAGTGCAGCTTCATTTTGCCAAGGTACCTGAGATTTTCCAATATCAGAAGCAAAATAATCTCGCAAATAGTTTCTTAAACCTATGGAAACAGATCCAGCTCGATTGGCTCCTACTCTACTTAATCCGTAAAATAAGCAGAATATTGTTGCTTCTAACGTTTTTCTCTCATAATGTAATTTTCTTCTCGATCAAAATAATGTTGAGGACAGTCAGTATCGTCTTTCATGTCCTTCTAAGCTTTCTTCACCAATCATTATAAAATTATGAAGGCATACGAGTGCTTTGATTAACATTTCGCTATTTTCCACAGACATAAAAATAGCTTTATGTAAAATCTGCCAGCGTGCAGTAAGGATGCCAAACGTATTTTCAATTGTTCGATGACAACGAGATAACCTATAATTAAATATTCGCATATTCTCTGTCAGACCACCTCTAGTTTTATATGAATATGGGCGCATCAGATAAGTAGTCAAAGGAAATGCTTCATCTCCCACAAATACGTATGGAAAATCAATGTCTGTCCCAGGGAGTGGTTTAGGAGTAGGCAGATCCACAGTTCCACTCTGTAAATCTTGTGCAAAATCTGTATTTGCCCATATACCACCGTCACTCATGGAACCTGTGATCCGCAATTAATTTGTCACATAAAGAAAATATTGTATACATTTTTTAATAGTCATATTTCTAGAAACTCACCATATTGGCCAACATCAATCCATGTACATTTATAGTTAGCATCACAAGTTGCAAGCAACACTATACTGAAAAATTGTTTGTAGTTATAAAAAGCAGATCCTGAATTGGAAGGAACTTATATACGCATATGACGTCCATTTATTGCTCCTACGCAGTTCGGGAATTGCCATTTATTCATGAAGTCTTCACTAATCTGTTCCCAATCATTACGAACTTTGGGTTTTAATACATAGGATTTAATGCAAGCCACAATGCTTGGCATGTTTCATTAATAACTTTGTGTATAGTAGATTTTCCAAGCCTATATTCCAAATGTTTCGATCTGGCACTATCACCTTGAGCAAGGTACCTTGAACAGAATATTAATTGACATTAACAATTGTATGAGGAATTAAAAAAATATATATTTGTCTTCTGTACTACTTACATTAATGTAACAGCAAACCGTATTTCTGTTGGGAGTGCTGCTCGAATGCTTCTTTTTACCAGATACGGTTGAAGATTTATTAGAATATCAAATTGCTCTGGCCACATCCGAAATAAAAAAAAATTCTTCATGATCTGTTTTTTTCAGTTCTTTCACAAGATTAGCATAAAAACCTTTGGCATCTTTCTTTTGATTGACAAGGCGTACCCACCACCGTCGACAATTTTTCCTTTTTCTTTTTAACATATGGTATTGTATGCCTAACATTTGATGGGGAGCGGTGCACTTGGACACGGTGCATTTGGACACAGCCAATCACAGCACCGTGTGATTAGAGACATTTGTAGGATCCCTTGGAACAGTGACTTGTGATTGGACTGTGTCCAATTGCCCCGTGTTCAACTGATATACACCCCATTTGATGCCATGCGAGCAAAAATAATGTCACATTCGTAACTTTAGTAATGTTCAACATAATTAATTTGTTTTTTAGAAAAATATAATCATATATAATCTCTGTTTTCGTTCTATTATATATTATATTGTTTTATAACCTTAAAAGATGTGACATGAAGTAAAATTGTTTAAGTAAAAAATTTCTGGACATTATAGGAATTTAATTGGAGTCTCTAGAAATTCTCTATTTCATAGCCAATTAACGTGTCCGACAGAATTATTGACAACCAACTAAATACGGACTTTCTATTACACTATCTGCTAGCTGATTGGTTCGTCATTACTTTCATCATTGTAGATAGGAACGGAATATCTATCTGTACGCTACTCTTTACTTCTTACTGCTTACTTCCAATGTAGACGTCCCTTAAGGGAACGTCTAAATAGCAAGAAGTAGGAAGTAAGAGTAAGAAATTGACCAACCACAGTCGAATGTGAGAAGAATAATCAACTATGATTGGTCAATTTCTTATTCTTACTTCTTACTTCTTACTGCTTACTTCCAATGTAGAAGTCCCTTTAAGTTGATGGCACATAGAAAAACTTAAGCAGTAAGACGTAAGCAGTAAGCAAATTGACCAGTCACAGTCGTTAATTCTTCTTACGGTTCAAAAATCAACGACTGTGATTGGTCAATTTGCTTACTTCTTATGTCTTACTGCTTAAGTTTTTCTGTGTGCCACGGCCCTTAAGATTCTCTGCTATCGCTGGCTCCCATCGACTCCAAGTAGTTGAAAGCGTCGCTCACCGACGGCCGGGAACGCCGCGGAGGCGATGAATCATAACCAATTAGGTTATTTGTGTTTATAAAAGTCTGTTATAAATAATCTCAATAAAAGAGTATATTATTCATTTGTAAAAGAATTTATATTAATAAAAACGAATTTATAATGAAATAAAAATATCCAATTAATAACCTAACATAACCTATTTATAAGCGCGCGCGCCTAGCTGCACATGTGTGTGTGCGTCTATACGTGATGTACTGAAACCTTCCCGTTTTCATTCCGTCCTGAGACTGCCGACATCGCTGCGAACGTTCGCACGACATTCACAGCGAAATTCTATAGTAGCTGCTACCCCAGACATAGGGACGTACTCAGAACGTACTCAGTCGATCGCAGTACATATGAGAACATTCTGAGATGATCGCAATATACGCATTGCGATCTACTCAGAACGTCCCCGTGCTGTTAGGGGACGCCTCTAATTTTACACATTATTCCAAACAATTACATTACAATGTACATCTACAATACTAGATTTGAGGCTTTCACAGCCATTGATACAATGTCTAGGTATAGCTTTCGGAATGGAGCCGTGTCTTGAATCAGCGACGTTTCGCAAACGTTGCAGTTTGCATCATCAGGGCTGAGAACTCTGATATTGAGCTCCCTTGGGTAAAGGTTGTCCTTATATGCCCCTCTCCCCCCCTTGTGTAGATGGTGTTAGGGAGTAGGGGACGAGGCTTGAATCCAGCCAATCAGCGTATTTTAATTGATCAGCTGGTCATTTAAAAAACCGGTAGGGCAGTATGCCAAATAGAGTTTACTTGCATACCTTTGTTTCGGTTGAGGTTGTTGGAATGTTTTAAAATTTCTAGACCTTCACGATGTTTTTTGACAAAATAACTCTGTGAGGGAGCCAATCTGGTGGCTTTGTCATATTGCATGGAGTCTCCATCCAGTGTTCAGCTAGGGCTGATTGAGTAAAATGACCATACTTGGTACATCGCTGGTGTTCCTTGATTCGCGTATTGATCTTCCTGCCGGTTTCTCCTATATAAACTTTACCACAAGAGCAAAGGATCTTAAATACACCTGATGTTTCTAGGCATGATTTCTGATCCCTCGGATTTTGGAGTAAATGGGAGAGCTTCCTATTGAGTTTGAAGATTACTTTGATTTTGTATTTACCCAGAATCCTGCTGATAGGTTCTGTTATGCCCTGGAGATATGGAAGGACAGCCGTTTTTCTCTTTTCTCTCTCTTCATCTAGTGTGTCAGTGTTTTTAGGACTCACAATTCTGTTCTTCTGGTTTTTTATTATTTGCGAGATGTTTTTGCTGTT